GAAGCAGACCTGGGGGGGGGGTACAGCCACTGGCCACAGCTGGAGTCCTTCCGGCCGCGCCCCCAGCAGGCACTCCCTTTAGTTGTGAGCAGAAGCCGGGCTGGGCGGGGCTGGGAGTCATGCCTCCTGTCCGGCTTCTGCACACAACCAGAGGCTCCCAGCTGGGACTCGGGTGGGGCGCATGGCTGGGAGTCCTGGACCCCGCCCCACCCCACCCGGCTTTTACGTGCAACCACAGGGCTCCCAGCACCAATCGCAGCACTGCCTTCCAGTCACGCCCCCACCAGGCTTCCATCTGGTGCCCAGCCGGGAATTCAGGAAATACCAGACATTGCACATGTCCAGGTTTTTCTGAATTTTTCTACTGGACAGACGGTGCAAATACCAGACTGCACGGTAGAAAACCGGACACCTGGCAACCTTACTGGGCAGGCAGAGGCACACCTTTAGCCAGGGAGAAATGGCCAGGAGAGACTGCAGTCCGCCTGGAGGCAGGGCTAGAGAGGGACTGGCAGTGGGCCACTGAGGCCTGAGGGTGCTGAGGAACTGTGTGTTCTTGAAGGGAGCTGGGTGTTCCCAGGAAGAAGAACTGGGGGTTCTAGGGAGTAGGGAGGACCCTGGACTGAAGGAAGAACAATGACTCCCTTCCCCGCCCAGGAAGGGGGCGCAGACCAAGACCGGAGTGGTCACTGTGGGAAGGCAGTGACCCGAAGAGAACACCTCACCCAAAGGGGGCACGTCGTCATTGGAGCAGCTGGTCACTTCCCCACAAGCCACCCTAAAGGAGTCAGCTGTGCGTAAAAGTGAGTGAACCTGATACAATCTATCCTAATTTTACAGATTTATTTAAATTGGACAATCGAGACTACTACTCAGTGATACAATAGCCCAATATAGTAATATGGTAGGCTGTGGCTGAGAGATTAAATTCAGTCTATATTATGCTATTCCCCCACTTTCAGTTTTGAATATGTTACAGATGTTTGTATTGACATTACATTGCATAACAGTATAGTGCAAGTTGTCTGAGATGAAGCTGAAGGTCGAGGCCTGATATATACTACAGGAATCGGTCAGCGTAAGACCTGTGGAAGTGTCTTTACTTACATTTGATTTTGTACTTTATCTGCTAATTTTGGTTTAGTTCTAGTCCTGCATTATCTCAACATCCTTCCTACTTCCTGTTTGTACTCTTGTGCTACGAACAGGTAACAGCTAGGAATGAATACATAGGTTCCAAAGGGGACTGATCCACACTTTCACCCAAATCTCATCTCACCTGTTTTCATCTTTTAAAGAGTGAATCACACTGTGCTAGAGAGATTTTATGAGCTGGGTTTATTTATTTTTTTCTATTCCAAAACTGATTTGAGCTAAATGGGCCTCTGCTCTGCCATCCCAATAACTTTCTTGTCTTTGCTTAAAAGTCTAACAAGACTGTAGAAACACTGAAGCTGCACACAAGACCAGCCCACAGGCAAGAGGTATAAACGGATCAGTAGACAAACCAGAACACAGGAGCAATTGTGTAAGATATGTAGCAATTGTGTGTTTCTCCACAGAAAAATCAATGTTCTACTTGTGCAATGCTATAATATGGGGGTAGATGGAATGCTTTCCCAATCCAACCATGTGATCAGTTTATGCCTGAGAGACTGTTGTATCTTTTGAACTAGCCAATATAAATACAACGGTGACAGTGTACTCAAACAATCCCAGATTATCCTATAGAATACACACCTCCAATACTGGCTCTAAATTCAGCATCTTAGTGCAGATGGAAGAATACAGGGAGGAAATGCCATTATTGCAAACTTAAGGCTATGTTAACCCATATCCAAATGCACCGCCTCCTCAATGAGAAGAACATTTGGATCTATGTGGCAATGGATCCTACAGCTCTGTTTTTTCTCCTTTCACACTGGTTTATGGAATGTGGGGAAACTACAACTCCCATGAGACATCAATGCAGCTCACCCACAGGTAGAAACTATGGAGCTTCATGGATGATGGAGTCTGACTGGGAAACAGAGCCAGAGGAGACTACAGAGGAAGGAGGGATAAAGAACTCCATTTCCTATAAAGTACAGTAGTGGCTCAAGGGGATGGAGAGATTAATGTTGATTCAAAATAAAGTGTTTCAATATGGTCAAACCAAAATATAACACACTGATCTTCCGGATACTAAATTCTACCAAAATCTATCTTCTCTTTAGAAAACTTTGATTTTGACAATCCCATTTTCCTCAAGAAAAATTTCTTTGAAAAATTGTGACCAACCTTAATGTTCAGTCAAGTCCGGTGATCCTAATTCATGCAAACCATTCGTTGAAGTTACTACAGATTTGTCATTAAGCAAGTCCTCTTAAGGTAAGGCCTCTTGAGATCAATTTATTAGTATTCTTATTTATCACTTGCATTAATATGAATGTATGAACCTAGTATTTTTTTCCTCTCTCTTTCCTGCTCCACACTTATAGGGCATATCTATATTCTCACAGCAACATCTCTCACCCAGGCCCTCATTATAGCCCAACTTAACTACTTCAATATCCTTGATTCCGGCTTCCCAGACATCACATATTGCTCCCATTTAGTTCATGCAAAATACAGCTGCTACATTCATTTTCCTTGCTTGTCAACTTGATTATGTCACTACCTCCTTTGAAACTCTTCATTGGCTTCCCATCCACTATCAAATAAAATGTAGATTCTGGTGGCCACATTCAAAGCTCTATATAACTCGTTCTCTTTCCATTTATCCAAGCTTGTCACGCTTTGTATTATGCCCATTCCCTATTCTGCTAACACTCCCAGCCTTGTCCATTTGTTTGTCAATTTCCCCCATGCTAGGTACAATCTCCCTCAGCCCATCTGCAAAGCCCTTATGTTCTCTTCACCTGTGTCCCTCTTAAAGATTCACTTCTGCTGTGCTGGGTACAGTGAATCAGACTGACTTGCATATTAATTTTTGTTTTCTGTTGTTTCTATTCCATTTCCCCTAACCTTTGTCTCCCTGTTTGTTCCTAGATTAAGAGTTCCTTGGAGGAGGGACTGTCGAGTGTTTGAAAAGCAGCTAATACATACTGCATGTTACTATAAGTAAAACCTGAATAATAATATTACTGTAATGCCCTGAGACCCTAGTCAAATCACGGCCTTATGTCAGACATCATGCAAACAGAGAGTCTGAGAGACCATTGCTGCCCACCAAGAACTTACTTAAGACAAGATGCAACCAACAAAAGGCAGCTTGTATGTCTTTTGATGAGAGCCAATAAACCTGGAAGATCATTGACACTGTTACATTTTGCAATCAATGTAATAATGAGACTAAACCATTTTTTGATATTTTAAAATACCACTTCTTTAATACAAACAAATACATGCCTGCTATACTTCCTGTTATGAAAGAACATACAATACCATATCACTCAAACAGCATACATATTTAATACACACTGAAATAAATTACAGAAGCCTGTGCCCATAATCAAATTGTATCAAACAAATCTATTGTGGAATTAAAGTTCTGTTGGATTCAACAACACATTGTAATCTGGATTTCTTTGCCATGGGACAAAGGCATACACATTGGCTGCGTCTAGAGTGGCATGATTTTGCGGAAATACTTTTAACGGAAAAGTTTTTCCGTTAAGTATTTCTGCAAAAGAGTGTCTAGATTGGCACGGATGCTTTTGTGCAGAAAGTGCTTTTTCGCAAAAGCATCCGTGCCTAGTATAGACATGCTTTTGTGCAAGAAAGCTCCGATAGCCATTTTAGACATGGAGCTTTTTTGCGCAAAAAATTAAGGTGCCTTTCTACACTGGTCCTCTTGTGCAAGTATTCTTGCGCAAGAGGGCTTATCCCTGAGCGGGAGCGTCAAAGTATTTGTGCAAGAAGCACTGAATTCTTACATTAGAACATCAGTGCTCTTGCGCAAATTCAAGCAGCCAATGTACACAGCTGGCAGTCTAGACGCACCCATTACAGCAAACCCAGCATGTTCACTGATACACGTGACACATTGGGATACAAGGAATAGCTTTGTGACGAAGGGGATAATTAGCCAGGTCAGCTTGATGTGAATTTATCCAGGTAGCCATTACTATTGATGTTTGGTTTTGATGACAATGAATAAATTCATCCTTAGAGCAGTTTGAGTTGCCAATAGTATCATTTTGCTGACTTTCTGTATTAATGCATACCATGAAGTAGCTTTGAGTACAGTAATTTAGCTCACTATTTTTTCTTGTTTATACACCTGATCCTGATACCCCTGAGGATCAGGCTCTCAGGGCTTCTCTACACTATAAAGATTGGCCCTCCAGAGGTCTATCCTCTAGTGTTTAATTTAGCGGGTCTAGTATAGACCCCCCAATCCAACGCTGTTTGTTTGCGGTCTGCAACTGACTTTTCTGTCAGTCAGTGGCTCCCAACCCCAAAAAGATTCCCCACCCCTGCTGTAGACTCTGCAGCAGCATGGCTTAAGGTAAGCCAAATCCAACTACGTATTTGCATAGCTGGATGGTGTACCTTAAGCCGACCTGCCTGGACTAGTGTATACTAGGCCTCAGAGTTCCCTACCAAACCAGAGTTGTATATTATTCAGTGAAACTAGTTACATTTTTTTTTAGATCCGTACAATTGGTAATTGGCAATGTAGGGCCTGTCGCCAACAGTCAGGTAAAACACTGATTGTCATCAGTGAGCGTTATTTCCTGCATAAGGACTGCCATTATTACAATACCAAGGACAAACTTGCAGGATTGATTTTTTTTTTTCATTTTGATGCTGTTTTTCATCTTACCTTTAGTTAGCAGCAAATAGTAATACTCAACCCTTCCAGAATTTATATAATTAATTCCTAAGAATCTATATATTTAAATCAAAGCAAACATATTCTCTGCAAGACTGTAGGTGCAAGATGGTATATGCCTGAGAAGTGAAGAAACAACTCTACTGTAGTTTTAAGTAAGAAAAAACAATGCATCTAAGTATAGAATTGTTTTTTATTCCATGACTGGGACAATGATGAGGTTGCAGACACCCCAATAAAAGAACAAAGCATTTGAATTCCAAAGAATGAGCAAGTGAATCAACTGATTGTGTATACTGTTGGATATAAATGTATGTCATGTCAAGTCTTTTGTGAACACCTGTAATTTTCTGAATTTGATGTCATTAGGAGGCTCTGATTATGAATGCATACACACAAAATTGCAATTGTATCTGTGAGGAACTACAGCTCACTTCACAACAGGGACATGAAACAATATCTCTCAGGCTCGGATAGCTCTCAGGCTGGCTGTTTACATGAAGCCAACTCCAAGTATCCATCCATAGTCCATCCAGGAAGAAAAAATTGTGGACCACTAAAGTGAACTGAAAAACACAAACTAAAAAGAAAATATCAATCTGGTAGTGTAGACATAGCCTTAGTTTTTGACCTTATGTTAGTGTAACTTACGTTGTTCGGTTAGGCTGACATAAGCACTGGTGTGCACATTGGTATATTGGTGGGACAGCTTCTCCAAGGCAGTATAGACCAGGCAGGTTGAGTTAAGGTATACCATCCAGCCACACAAAATGCATAGCAGGATTCAGCTTACCTTAAGCCAAAATGCCACAGCGTCCACACTATGGGAGGCTGACAGGAGTTCATACTCCCTCCGGCTTTCCTTGAGGAATGAGGAGTACCAGATGACAACGGATGCTACCCTCAGCGTTCAGTTTAGGGTTCTACATTAGACCCACTAAATCCAACACTAAAAGACTGACCTCCGGAGTGTCGATATTCTCCGTAGATATGCCCCCACAGACATAAACACTGCCATTCATGGGAACTGGAGTAGCTAAGCTAATCAGAGAGCTCTCTCCCATCAACTGAACAGCAGCTATATTAGAGAGCTTACAGAAGTGCAGCTGCATCAGTAGCCTGAGCTGCTGGAAAGTGTTTAGTGTAGACACAGGCTACGAAAGGAGGATATTTTCCCTAGTTTGAATAACTGAGTCATCATGCTACGAGAAAGGGAAAAAGAAAAAGATTTTTTAAAGCAGGTTTATGGCTGAGGTCCAGTCATGGTCCGCGCCCAACCCCCCCCCCCCCCCCCCACTGCAGGTCCAGCCCCCCTGGGTTCGGATTCAGTCATTCTGTCCAGGTGCGGACCCTTAACCTCCCTCAAAGTTGTGCTCCTGTTCCCAGGGTCAGCTCCTTGCAGCACTGCTTTGAAACAGAGGCGCATTTGCTTATCGGATACTCAACTAGTCCTTAACATCCTTAATCTGTATCAGCAGCTGTTAAACTGTGGTTTGTGGGGAACTGGCATATAACTGTGTGAACGCCCACTCTTTGTTTTCATCTGCTTTTACAAGCACCCTGGTTCTTCTCTGCAGTAAGGCGCATGGACATAGCACAAGAAGCTGGAAAAGAAGGAAGAAGCTAGGTAAGTTACTTTTATTAGGCGCTACAGCTCTATAAATTGAGGATAAAACAAAAAATATGTTGAAGTCTTGGTGCCACCAACATGAAAGAACCATCCAAAATACAAGTGAATCAGACAAGTGGGTAGCATGTACAGGGTTAGGGGGGAAAAGGACCCAGACAGAGCAAAATGCATAGGGGATCAGGTGACTTACCATTATGTGTCCATGCAAGTTATGAATTCAGTTACTCTGGAGATGTTATGCAGTTCCACATGGGTTCAGTACTAAGAGAAGAAATATTTAGTCATTCTATTAAAATGCATTCCACATTATATTATCACTCAAGCTTATCTAGAGAAATTTTGGGTTCTAGTACATCATGTTTGCTGGCCTTACCATTTCACTTTATTTACACAAACATTATAGATTTGAGGGGAGCCTGTGCTCAGGGCCCCAGTACAATTGTCCTTCCTTTCCTCCCTCTGTTGTCAGCTCTGACCTACTGCATGCAGGAACTATTGTTACCATCATCTCTGGTTGTCATACAGAGTCAAAAAAACCGTCAGCTATGTCATTACAGGCAGTCCCCGACTTACGCGGATCCGACTTACGTCGGATCCGCACTTACGAATGGAGCTTTCTCGCCCCGGAGGTCGAGGTGGCGGATTGCTACCTGCGAGCTCCGGGGCGAGAAAGCCCCGTTTGTAAGCTGCTCCGGTGCCCCTGGTCTGCTGGAGACCGTCTCCAGCAGACCAGGGGCACCGGGCGGGTTCCCGCGCTTCTGAGGCTTTGCCAGAGCAAAGCCTCAGAGGCGTGACACACCGCTGTGGCTCTGCTCCCCGTGTCCCTGGTCTGCTGGGGGGAGGGCGTGGCTAGTGTGCCCCCCCCAGCAGACCAGGCTTTTGTTTTGGACCCTGGAGCAGAGCAGCTGGGGGGCGGGCCGGGTGGGCCCAGAAGGCGCGGGGGC